AAAAAGTTCTCTTATAAAAAAAAAAAAAAAAAAATTTAAATAAACAATTTTCCAAAGCAAGAGGCATTAAAAAAAAAAAAAAAAGAATATAAATAAACCATTTTCCAAAGCAAGTAGCATTAAAAAAAAAAGAAATTGACATAATATCACAATGCAAATCTTACAAAAAAACCAATATCATAAATAGGCACCTAGGGAATAGTAAAATAGTCTTAAACAGCTTTTTACTAAATCAAAGATTTTAATTGAATATTTGTGTTAGCTGAGTGAAATTATGCATCTCATCTTGCATGTTAACTGTTTAAAAGCATTAGAATAATGGTTAGCAGTTAAGGTACTAGACTAGAAACCAGTTGAGTTCTAGTTTCATCTTAGACATGAAAATTGGGTGGGTGACTTAAGGTCACTCTTCTTTCTCATCCCTACTCACGTCATAGGAGTATTTTTGTAGAGAAAATAGGAAGGGAAAGGAATATTGGATATGATCACTGCCTTGGGTTATTATTATTAATAACTCAAGTTAATATAAAGGTTGGGTTAAAGAACATTTGAAAAAAATAGTTTTTCCAGTCTGAATCCAACACTTTATTTACAAGAAGTAATAACTGCATACTAAACAAGGGTCTCATGGAATTAAATTGTATTACATTAAGGAATTTTTTTTCAATAATTATAAACTGTTGCTGTACCTCCTAACAAAAAAGGGTATTATAAGGAGTTTACCTCAGCAAATTGTAACATTGTTGAATTTAGACACCCTTCAGTAGAATTAGGGGAATCAGAATGACATGTACTTGAAGAAACCTAAAGTAAACAATATAAGAAGGAAAATTTAAGGATTGAACAAATAATCAAAATTGTTTTCAACAATATATAAGAGCAATATCTTTTTTCTTGGAGATTTACAATATATAGGAAAAAAGGAAAAATAAATGTGTGCATGCAAGAGGGAAGGGAGGGAGACAGAAACAGAGGGGGGGGAGGGAGAGAATAATACCTATCTGAAGAAAAACAATAAAATGCAAGTCATAAAATTATAAGCAAAAAAGACTTGCAGTAGAAATGTTGATTTAACCAAAATTAACAAAGACATTTCAATAATCATGGTAATATATTCCAAACACATAGGACAGCAGAGAAAATGACTATGTTCTTGGCTTTTAAGAAATATATAAAGAATAGAAACTTCTTAAAATAAAAGGAAGATATGAATAAAAAGCAAATGATGAATATAATAAATGTATTTTAAATTAGGATAGGCACAGAGATGAGACTAATTTGAAGAAGAAAAGGGAACTGACAAAAGACAAGGTTCCTGAAATACTAAAAGAATTTTAGAAACAAACAAACAAAAGATCAGAAATAAGTATTCCCAACAAAAATGAGTAGAGGTAATATTAGAGTTCCAGTCGCATTCAGGAAGGACTAAATGCAAAGATCTTTCTGATTTTCATATATGAACGTACTAAAGTGTAAACAGTGATTCTCTTCCATCCTACCATAAAACTGAAAGGTGGTTTAGGAATAAAAGTAAATGAACAACAACAACAATAATCAGACCTTTCATTTTCATTTCATTTATTTATTTCATTTATATTTCATTTTATAATCTAAAGGGTGCAATTTGCACTTAAATTTTTCTGTCACATAACTGCACTGATTATTCATTTTCATCATCAGATACAGACATTAAAAAAGCATTCTAAATCATTCACAGCTTTTTGCTACAAGAGACAGCTTCCCTATAATTAAGTTTTTTATAAGAAGCTAAGCAACGTTAGTAATTGTCAATATCCATTTTTTATGTTAAAACTGTTTAGCAGATAATCATTACTACAATTAACTTAATTGTCATAAAATATATTCTTAATGGAACATAATACTATTTAATTTCTACCAATGAAATACACATGAAAATTAAGAATGGAAAAGTTTTTTTTTCTGCTCTAGTATTAATATTTTCTTCTAATTTCTTGTAATTAAAAAGACTAAAATTTAGGAAAGATCAGAAAAGATGCTAATCATAGGCATTGTTCTGCAATATATTTATGAGATTTTTAGGAAGTGCCTTCAATCTACAATTAAATTCTTAGAACTTTGTAGAAATATGATTTTCTACATGGAAGCGTGATAGCAATACAGTACTGCTCGTACTCAGGTAATTCGGATTGGAATTTCTGTCATTCAGCGATGCGACCATAAAGCATGATGTTGCATGACTGCATTGCTTAGCAACAGCAATACCGGTTACCATCGTCACCCCAGAACTATATGGGTCATTAAGCAGGTAAGAATTCCAAGCAATGACTGCAGGGGTGTGCAGGTACTGTGGATGGGACAGCCAAAGTGGTTGCTACGGAACATGGGTGGGTTGAGGGGATTGTGGACCGGTGTGACAGAACATGAGTGGGTCAGTAGGGGTATGGGTAGCTTGGTAGAGGTTGTGGGTGAACCAGCCAGAGGCTGGCAGGACAGTGTTATAGATTATGAGATCCCTGGGATCTTGTTCTTATTTCACGTGTGGCTCTTAAAGAAAAAGCAGCAGGATCAACTTCCAGAAACAACTTGTGATCTTCCCTGCTGTCTTTTCTGCTAGCTTTGCTAGTGGAAAACTGGTAGTAAAGGTTCCAAATGGGGATCACATTACTGCAGTACATTACAAATACTGCAAGTGTATACTGATTGCTAAATTCCCCAATTGCAATCATATGAGTATTGGTCATAAGTACCATTCATTCAGCACTGTCATAACTCTGAATAGTTGCTGAACTAGTGGTCATAATCCTAGGACTGCCTGTACTCAAGCTGGCATAAATGCTTTCAGAAGATATTTATGACGACAAATTCCCTACCTACCTACCTACCTATATCTACCTACCTGCCTGCCTGCCTACCTGCCTACCTACCTCTATATTTTTATTTATATATATATAAATATATATATATATATATATGTATGTATATGTATATGTATATGTATATGTATATGTATATGTATATGTATATGTATATATAAAATAGATATTCCAACCAAACTTAGTACACAGATGACTTACTGTCTGGAAAAAAATACTGTGGGCGTAAATCACTCCTAACACCCCTCGGTGTCTGTGTTCTGTTACAATACAGCTTGTTGTACCTTAAAATGGATTCTACTGTACTGCCGTAAAATGGCTTCTATTGTACAGCTTAGTGAAGTTGCCATGATAACGGCTTCACATTATTCCACAAGGGGGCTCCCTCTGGTAAGGGGAAAAATCCAACATTAGAAATTACGTTTGGTCCAGACATTTCTCCCCTATTAATAAATAGCCAGGCAATGCCGGGTTATCAGCTAGACTTCTATAAATTCATGGATGAAGGCCTCCATTTCATGGAAAGACTACATAACAATACATCTATAGGTTGTCTTTATTTAATGACCAGACATACAACACTGAAGTTATGCTGGTGCTGAAGAACACTTGTAACTGGTCCTTGCAGTGGTAGTCACTGAAGCGTCCCTGCATCACGTGCTCAGAATTTGGGTGCTTAGCAGTTGGCTTTAAGTTACAATAGTCACAGCATCCTGTGATTGTCATTTATAACCTTCATTTCTAAGAAGCTGTCAATAGGGAAGCTGGGAAGAGGTTGCAAATTGTGATAATGTGACATTGCAGTTAATGACTACACAGGATTTGCTAAATAATGGCAGTCAGAACAACTACAATTGGCAGCATAAGTTGGCACAAATATGTGATGTCACACTTTACTACCAAAGCATTTAGCAGCAGAGTTATCAATCTAGATTATTAGTGTTAAACAAGGACTCCCTATATTAATTGCTTTGGTTGGAAAAAGATTTAATTTTCGCTTTATACTGAGTAGTGTTCTAAATGTTCCCAAGATCAGTGTAAATGGCAATTTGCACATGTCATTCAGAATTCAGAAAGCTAACAGAAGCTCTCTTAAATAATAAACTCTTTATAAACAAAAGGAGAAAAACTGTCTAGTAAAAAAAAACACTACAATACTTGCTCATATAATGGCCACCAACAAAGACTCAAAATAGACTAAAATATACAGCAGTCATTCAAAATGCTCAATTTCTCCATCTTCTATAAACCATAAACATCTAAACTAAAAATTGTTACTAGAATATAATCAATCAAAATTCAAAGGAAAAAAGGGCCAGATGTCTTCTAAATGAATCTTAAAACACAAATGATTTAACTGATTTACAATAAGACAGCAAGCCAGGTTTAGTTAGTTTCAAGCCACATAGGACTTGTAAATTAAAACCAGCACTTTGAACTTGATCTGGTTTGGTTCTACTTCCTTAATCACGTATTTCTCATGCTGTACAATATAAATAACTGTATTAATCTTTGGGAAAATAATCAAAGTTATGCGATTGTCCTCTGCCATTCCTTCCCTCACACTCGCTTTGTGCATACCCCTAATGCTCTAAATATAGGGGGAGAAGGCAGTGTCAAAGTAGTAGATGTTTTATAATGAGCTCTTTCAGTAAAAAAACCTCTTTAAATGTTAAAATGATGTCACTAATCCAAGACAAAAGATGTACCAAATAGCTGTGAAAATACATTATGTAGTAATGTAACCTATTAAACATTTTTTTAAAAGAAATAATTAAGCAGTAAAGATAATTACTTACTTCTTGTGCAGTCAAGGCATGTTCTCCAGCTAACAGTAGCATGCTGAGGCCTCCCATTTGCGTAGGATCTGACAGAAAAGAAATTATATATGGAAACATTTTAGTCAAAATATTTATTTAGAAATAGTATAGGCAAACCTATTGCCTTAAACATCTGCAGCTTTAATAGTGAAGAAACCTGTAATAACTGCATACCTTAACATAGAAGGAAGGCATCTCAAAATATGTTGGGAAAAAATGGATGTTGTCTTTTCTTTAACAAAACTGCTAGGTTGTGTGTGTGTGTTTGTGTGTATGTGTTCATATGCCTACATAAATAACCATAGAACTTGAACTGAATAAAGAATCAAGGATAATACAAGGTATTTACTTTAAAAAAATAGAACACCGTGTTAAAAAAAAATCACTCTACATACAACACATTTGACAAATAAATATCAGAAAATATACCTATATGACCTGCAATTTACATATTTATTTATATTTTATTACTGAAATTTATATGAAATTTAATTCCAGAATAGTTCTGAGTGGCTTATGCAATTATGCAAACATACAAAGTAAAATATACAGTGTTTTTTAAATCTAAGTCTAACAATAAACTTCTAAGCCATTGACACAGTGCACAGGAAACAATCCTAGCACTAACAATTCCCTATGCAGTGAGGGGACCCACCATACAACCAGTCTCCGAATGGCTTTTGAAACAGCCAGATCTTGAAAGTCAACAAGGTGGTACTGTCTAGATTTCATATGGAACACCATTCCAAGTTATTTACTGTTTAGAAGCTGGTATAATTTGGCATTTTAAGTCTTCTTCAATGGGAGTAGGGCAGAAGAACAGAATCAACACATATAAACACCCCCCCCCCAAAAAATGATAGAACAGTGATAAGTGATTAGACAAATTCACTAAGCAAATGGCTACTACTTGCAATCAGCATAATATCATAATATAAGGACAGCTTCTGAATAACAGGGTAATAAAAGTTACTATTATACTGATGGCTCGAGAAGATACCACAGTTAGACACTATATGAATGGAATGCAGAACTAGATAGGGCTTTATTCTAATGTAGGAAGGTTTAATGATGATTTTTTTTTTCTTTCCACAAGTAAAAGCCACAATTCAAAGCATCCTTATCATAAGCTTGTAAGACTGGGATTGACAAACTTACCTGCCATTGCAAAATTCAGCTGAGGGGTTTCTTCTGTCTTCATCAATTTTTTTGGACTAGACAAATCTTTTGTAACTTCTGATGGGAAAGCCCAAAGCTTTTTTCGATTTGTTAATGTGGGTGACTGAGTTTTCACAGGTTTGTTTGTAGGTGGACACCATTTATAGCCAGGATTTGCTTTCATAAATGCATCTTTATACTATGAGAAGAACAAATAATTTGCTTTAAGGCAGAGCACATTTATTTGAAAAAAATGAGTTAGTTGTAGGTTAACAGATCATTTATTTCATCAAACAAGCAGTCCACCCATGGCCATTTGAAAATTGCCATAATGAAGTGAGAGCTGCTCACTGAAATAAATGTGCAATGCCTGCCTATACACATCATAACAAAGACAAAATTTCCTTAAAATAAGGAATGCTACTGAAAATACAAACCTTCATTTTCTATGTATATTTCTTCCTGTAGAACAAAGAAATGTTAAGGCGGCTCAATGGCAAGTTTTTGTTGTTAATTACTGCTGTTATACTCTTAAACAGCATAAAGAATAAAAAATTATATGTTTAATTGAATGTTTCTTACATATTCATGGAATGAACATTACTGGGCTGAACACTTAGTCATATTGTTTCTTTTCAATAGAAAATGTGGAACTTACTTTTAGACTCATATCACTTGAGGCACAGTACTGTATCCATTTTTTTAAAGAAAAATTATTCTTAACAGCTTTTGAGTTGTAAGTTTTTATAGGAATATTATATATACAATAATTTCCTGACCCATGAATTAAGGCTTTGTTTATCAAAGATAAATTTCCTACATTATGCTATCCCTAATATGTAATTTGCTGCTCAATGTTTCTACTTCATTTCTTTAATTAATTAGTTTATTTATTGTCAACATATTAATCAAGTCTCTTAAATTCATTACAGATAATCCTTGAGATACGACCAGTCACTTAACTGTCATTCAAAGTAACAACAGACTTCTTAAAAGCCATATAAGATCCTGTTTTGAAGTTATGGCCACTGTAGTGCTGCCGGTAACATTCACCCTTACAATTGACCGCAGGGACACTGTCGCATCTCCCCATCTCTTTTCCTCCCATCCTTCCCCATTGGTACCCAGGCTTTGGCCTTACTCTGCACATGCCCATCAGTTACTGTACCTTTTGAAGATCTCGACCTCATGTTGGAGAAGAAGGGAAGGCCACGCATACCAGTGCCATATCAGTGGCATCCAACAGCAGCCATTTTCAGTGAACCTACAAATCCTTAAGATGGTTTTCAGAAGCTTTCTGCAGTGCTGTGCAGACTGTGTTAAGCAATTGTAGGTGCAATGAAAATGATTCTGGAAAAATGGGGCTTGGAGGTGGCGCAGTGGTTAAATACAGCACTGCAGGCTACTTCAGCTGACTGCAGTTCTGCAGTTCTGCAGTTCAAATCTCACTGGCTCAAGGTTGACTCAGCCTTCCATCCTTCCGAGGTGGGTAAAATGAGGACCCGGATTGTTGGGGACAATATGCTGACTCTGTAAACCGNTCCACAAGGGGGCTCCCTCTGGTAAGGGGAAAAATCCAACATTAGAAATTACGTTTGGTCCAGACATTTCTCCCCTATTAATAAATAGCCAGGCAATGCCGGGTTATCAGCTAGACTTCTATAAATTCATGGATGAAGGCCTCCATTTCATGGAAAGACTACATAACAATACATCTATAGGTTGTCTTTATTTAATGACCAGACATACAACACTGAAGTTATGCTGGTGCTGAAGAACACTTGTAACTGGTCCTTGCAGTGGTAGTCACTGAAGCGTCCCTGCATCACGTGCTCAGAATTTGGGTGCTTAGCAGTTGGCTTTAAGTTACAATAGTCACAGCATCCTGTGATTGTCATTTATAACCTTCATTTCTAAGAAGCTGTCAATAGGGAAGCTGGGAAGAGGTTGCAAATTGTGATAATGTGACATTGCAGTTAATGACTACACAGGATTTGCTAAATAATGGCAGTCAGAACAACTACAATTGGCAGCATAAGTTGGCACAAATATGTGATGTCACACTTTACTACCAAAGCATTTAGCAGCAGAGTTATCAATCTAGATTATTAGTGTTAAACAAGGACTCCCTATATTAATTGCTTTGGTTGGAAAAAGATTTAATTTTCGCTTTATACTGAGTAGTGTTCTAAATGTTCCCAAGATCAGTGTAAATGGCAATTTGCACATGTCATTCAGAATTCAGAAAGCTAACAGAAGCTCTCTTAAATAATAAACTCTTTATAAACAAAAGGAGAAAAACTGTCTAGTAAAAAAAAACACTACAATACTTGCTCATATAATGGCCACCAACAAAGACTCAAAATAGACTAAAATATACAGCAGTCATTCAAAATGCTCAATTTCTCCATCTTCTATAAACCATAAACATCTAAACTAAAAATTGTTACTAGAATATAATCAATCAAAATTCAAAGGAAAAAAGGGCCAGATGTCTTCTAAATGAATCTTAAAACACAAATGATTTAACTGATTTACAATAAGACAGCAAGCCAGGTTTAGTTAGTTTCAAGCCACATAGGACTTGTAAATTAAAACCAGCACTTTGAACTTGAT